CTGCCTCACCCGGGAAGAGCGCAATGATAATACCAACATGGGCCAGTGAGGCGACGTCCTCCACAACTAGACTGAAGAACAAAAGGACAGCAACTTGTGTGCTCTCCTTCCCCGATTCCCCAACACTGTTTCCCTCTCCCAATTCCCCAATAAATTCTTAAAAAAAAAAAAGAACAGTCAGAGTGGCCTATCATGATCTCAGAATTGAGGGGGGCAGGGGGGTCCCTGAGTCATGGCCAAAATATTCAGTCAATATGAGGCCTCATTCTGCTGGGAAAACCACCCCAAATCCCTTGGAATGGTAAAATGTTTTCCTTACTAGGTGTCTTGAACCCTGAAAAGGCTAGAAATCAACAATGATTGCTTAATTGTGCCAAATGTTTTAAGCAACATGAGATTTGTAAGTTGAGCTTTAAATTTTAATTTAAATTATTGGGTTGATTATTTTAATAAATAGACTGTTTTTGAAGCCAAAGAAAATACAAATAATCCTTTCTGTACACAAAGCATGCTCTCAAGAACACCAGCAACTTCAACAGACCCACAGGCCTCCACATTCGCCAGTTGCCTGCCGGTGACACGGGCACTGGGGTGCACTGGGGAGGAAGCGGGTGGCCCTTCCTCGGCTGCTCATTGAGCTGGGCTTTGGTGGCAGAAGGGCCTGGGCACGAACCCTGACTGGCACTGGATGATTTGACCTCTGTGGGACCTGTTAACCTAAAAATAAAAGGTCCAAGTGAGAGGCAACAAGCATTTATTTGAGATCAAGAAGAATACCTAATTGGGAAGCACTGATTCAGGCAGAAACCCAAATAGTGCTCTGATTAGAAGGCAAAGGGGGAGAAAAAGAAGGCCAAGGGTATTTATGAGAAAGGGAAAGAGAACAATCACATCAATAAAAGGAAGGAATTTCTATATGTGCAGATAAGCTGACATAGCGATGCTAATTCTAAAGAATGTTTTCAACTTTTAGTCTGGCAGTCCTGATATCTGCTTTCTAAGTTATCTTTGCCAACAGTTGTTTGGGACATAAGGTTGCTTTAGGCCCAGTCCAATCAATGGTTCATTTGCTCTGTTTTAACATTCCGAAAGTTTAAGGAGTAAGAGTAGCAAGGTAGTTCTGATATGACAGCTCAGACTCCGTTTTAAAGTGGCTCCATTTATATTACATTATTTTTTTTTACAGACCAGAGCACCTATCTGTAAAAATGGGAATTAAAATGATACCCACTTGGTCATCCCCTGATTCAGTCCTCCTCCATGTAGTAACCATGTACTTCTGTGGGCCAGCCCTGCTCTGGCCCTGGGGACTTGGTGTTGTCAATGGAAGAAACATCCAAACCTGTAGAGAATGTTGATGAGTTTATTTGAGCCAAAACTGACGACATATGAGCAAGATCTCAAATGCTCTGGAAAAATAACAGGTTTGCAGTTTTTTTATGCATTTGAAATTAAGGAGGATACCTAAGGAAGATTACGTGGAGGTGGGAGAAAGGGGGAGGGGGATTAGATTACCGGATAGTTAAGATTATTTGCTTTCTTGGGGGTGGTTGTGTCTTAGAAGGAGGGGTCTGAATAGAGGCATTTCAAAGGTGTGTTAACCTAGATGCCCAGAAACAATGGAAGGGGCTGGTTTGAGGCAAAGATAAGCCTTTTACTAAAGAAGTTATATGCCCCGGCGTGAACGCCCATCAGGACCTGCCCAGTTAGGAATCTATGATCAGATCACCCTGTGAGAACCCCTTTTTCCAACCACAGTGTAGAAGGATATACAGGTCCTTGGTCTCAGGGAGCTCAGATGGCGGAAGGAGAAGACAGGAAAATAGTGGGAGAAAAAGAAGAAAAAAAAGGCCAAAAAAAATTGGAAAAAATAATGGGAGAGATGAGCGCCTTTGGGAGGAAATCAAACAAGATGAGTGACGTGGAGTCTAGGCATCCAGGAGGGACGCTGTGAGATGGTGACATCAAAGCTGGACCTGGATGCCACAGGAGCAGCCCAGGCGGACAACCAGAGGCAGAGCTTTCTAGACAGAGGAACACATACCAGGCCCTGAGGTGGTGTGGCTGGCTCAGAGTGGACAAAGGGGAGAGCCCTGAGGGTGGAGAAGGGGGCAGGGCTCCAGGGGGCCCCAGTGAGGAGAAACAAGTGGGGCCCCATCCTGGGGGGAACACAAGTTTCATGAGGTCTGAAGCTTATACAATTTGGGGGCCCTCTAAGAAAAAGAATGAAGCTTGAATGTCATTAGCTTCATGGTAACCCACTTTTGCCACATAATGATAGTCGGTGTCAAAGAAATAGAAGTTTTTTTAAAAAGTAGCGATCTCTAGTCTCTCTTTTTTTTAATTAGGGAATTGGGGGAGGGGAACGGTGTTGGGGAATTGGGAAAGGGGACCAGCCAAGTTGTTGTTCTTCAATCTTCGTTGTGGAGCGCGCCAGTCGCCATCTGGCTTCCAGTCGGCAGCTCGTGGCCTCTAAGCTCAAGGTGCTGTGTTCAATCTTAGATGCAGGGGGGCGTAGCCACCATCCCATGAGGGAGTCGAACCAGCAGCCTTGTTGTTAAGTGCGCATGCTCTATCCACTGAGCCATCCAGGCAGCAGCTCAGCTCAAGGTGCTGAGTTCAGTCTTAGTTGTGGGCGGGTGTAGTCCACTATCGAACAGGCAGTCTTGTTGTTACACCAGCTCTGAGCCATCCTGCCACCTGTTAGCAGCTCAGCAGCAGCTCAGGTCGGGCGCAGCATCACTGGCCCATGTGGGAATCAAACCAGCGGCCCTGTTGCTCAGAGCTCATGCTCTTAAGCTAACTCTTAACCAACTGAGCCACTCGACAGGCCCTCTATTCTCTTTCAAATATGATTTCCAACTTCACGTGTTTTGGTGCACAGTTCTAGACAAGTACATGCAGTTACCTACCTAGCCGTGACCACAGTTGGGCTACAGACAGGTCCATCACCCCTCAAAGTCCCTTATGCTTTCCCGCTGCAGTCGACCCCTCCCCCTCCGGGTCTGTGGCAACTCCTGGTCTATTTTCTGTTCTTATAACTTTGTCTTCTCCAGGATGTCATACAAACGGAATCAGACAGTGTGTAAACTTTGGAGACTGGCTTCTTTCAGCATCATGCATCTGAGATCCCCACGTTGGCTACATCAGGAGGTCATTTCATTTTATTACCGTGTAGTATTCCGTGGCATGGAGGTACCACTGTTAGTTTACTCTTTCACTAGTTAAAAGACTTCTCGAAGTTTATAGTGATTATGAATAAAGCTAGAGAGCTCTTCCTTCTTTGATATATACTGTTGCCTCCTACTTCACTGAGAAACTAGAAGCAATTGGAAGAGAGCTTGCATGAGCTCCCTTCACCGCTTCCCCGCCTCCCTGCATCCAGGTCCGAGGGCTGGAGAGTGGGGAGTCAGTATTTAATGGGGACAGAGTTTGGGTTTTGCAAGATGAAAAGAGCTACAGAGATGGATGGTGGTGATGGTTGCACAACAATGTGAATATACTAATGGTACTGAATTGTACACTTAAAAATGGTTAAAGTGGTACATTTTTATGTATATTTAACATATATTTTACCCTAAAAAAGTCCCAAGCAGAAAAACAAACATAAACTCTTGACCTCACATCTCTCTCCAGGTACTGTGTTTCTCTGCCTCCTGTAAGAGCAAAACTCCTGGAAAGGTCGTCTCTAGTCTCTAGTCGCTGTCGCCAATTCTTCTCATTGCATGCCCCCTGGAACCCACTCTAATCAGACGTTCAATCTCCATGGCTCTCCAGGAACTGCTCTCGTCAAGATCAGTAAACTTCCTGGAGAAATCCAGCGGCTCTGTCTCAGCTGCAAGGGACACAGCTGGTCCCTGCCTCCTCCTGGAACAGGCTTCCGGAGGCTTCCACTGGGTCTTCTCCCCGGTTCCTTCTCAGTTTCCTTTGCTGGATCCTCCTCCTCCCCCAGCTCTCCTCATTGGTGCCCACAGGGTCCATCCTGGTCCTTCTCTCGGCCCACACCCTTTCCTTGGTGATCTCACTCAGAAATCACCTGGCTGTCAATACCATTGACACGTTGCACTTCCGGTGCCTACATTTATACCTCTCACCTACTTATCCCGTGAACTCCACCCCCAAATGCCTATCGCTTAACACTTCCATGTTGAGCTGGCATCTCAAACCTAACAGAACCCAAGCCTAAGCCCTTATCTTCCCAGCACCTTGCTCTTCCCACAGACTTCCTTGTTCCAGTAAATCGCAACCCCGCCCTTCCAGTTGCTCAGGCCCAAATCCTAGCAGGCCTTTTTCCATCAGCACACCCTGCTGGCTATACCTTCAAAGACTGTTGTTTCCAGGATCTGACCACCTCTTACCATCTACCTGCGCCCACCTTTGCATCACACCCCCCCACCCAGTGGACAGGGGGATTTTGTAAAAATGCAAGTCTGATCTCGTTGATTTTCTGCTCAAAGTTTTTCCTGTCTCATCTAGAATAGAAGCCAGAGTCCTTTCAGTGGCTTGAAAGGCTCCCAAATCTGCCCTATGTCCTCTCTTTTCCCTGCTCTCCTCTTTGATTGCCCATATTGGCTTCTACACTGTTCCTCAAATGCTCCTGCCTCCTCCCGCTGGTCTCCCCAAGTATCCACAGGGTCCCTCCCCCACTCCTGTAGGTCTCCACTCCTCTGATACCTTCCCACCCTATGTAAAACTGTCCCAGAGTGGGCCTCTTCCTGGGCCCGGGACCTACATTTGATTTTCATCAATATGCATTGGGGTGGAAGGAAGGCCCGAATTAAATAAGCCTCAGGCCCCATCCCTTCTCCCTGGCTTATTTTCCCCCCAGCACTCATCACCATCTGAAGAACGATTTGTTTTTTCTTTGCTTTAGTGTCTGCCTCCCCCACCTTAGAATGTAATCTCCACAAGGAAGAATATTTGTTGAGTGAATGAACCAACGAATGAATGAATATCAATGCCCAGAAACCCGCAGCTTTCATGGTAATAATTTTCTCTTCATATACTCCCAACCCACTGCCCTCTCCCCTATCTCCTAAGTGCCCCCTCTTTTATTCCTTCCCAGCCCCCCTCTCCTCACCCCTTCCCAGACCCCACTACACCCAGAATGTTGGCTCATTAAGGTCCCACTTCAAGCTATAAGGACTTTGCATCCCCCGGGGGGACCAGGAATATGCTTAGAACTCACAAGTGTATCATCATAATAATGAACTGACATTTGCCTCTATCTTTACAATCATTAAACCAGCCTTTATATCTGTGATCACTTGTGAAGTGGCCACAGTGGTTATTATTTTACCTACTTTACAGATGACGAAACGGGCCCGGTGAGGTGGAGCCGCCAGCCCAGCCTTCTGCATTGGTCTCTCCATGGCACAACCTGCTGAGCTTTCTCTGTGTGGCCACAAGATAAAAAGCAACAACATGCACACACACACACACAAACAACCCTGTACCTACAGTATCATCAACATCGTGATCTCCTCTGCCATATCCTGTCCATCTCTCCTTTGAGCACCTTAGCAGGAGGCGTGGGACTCATCTGGAGATGGGCTGGAACACAGGAGGTACCCACATTAGTCACACAGTGAAGCTCCTGTCTGGGTGAGTCTCCCTCAGGAGTCTGGTGGGGGTGGCGGAGGTTGACTAAGAGAGACAAGCATCAGGTGGGCGGCCTGGTGTGATTGGTGGGGTGGTGGGGCTGTCCCAGGGGGCCTTCCAGCCCCCTTGTGTCTGCAAAGAAGCCTGCACTCAAAGTGACCCCCTGCCCAGAACTTTTCTCCACATGGTCCCCGCCCCCAACCCCTACAGGCACTGTCTGAGCCCCTACTAAATCAGAATCCAGAGGAGCACTAAGATGGCAAAATAGGGCGAGCTGCACCCCAGCAAACCAGCTAGGCAGGTCTGTTGGTGCCAGGGTGCAGGTGGAGCAGCAGGTCAGCTCTAGCCCAGGAATGGAGCTGACAAATGTCTGGGCCTGTGAGAGAGCTCTGGGGAGTAGCCAAGAGAAAAATCCACCTGGGTTTGATCTAGAGCTGGCTCTTCGGGGCTTGTGGCTCTGGAGATGGGTTTAAAGATAGCTGGTTTGGAGGCAGGATTTGATCGGTCGTTATTACTGGTATTTAAAAGTTATTTCATCAACCATCAAGGAACATTCCCTGAAGAGGCCAGATTACCAAGCACACCTGGGCTGCTCATTAGAAAAAAAATATAGGGCTGCCCCAGGCCTGCAAAATCAGAACCCCTAGGGAGGGGTTAGGGACCCAAATCTTTACTTTTAAAGCCCTCTCAGATAATTGTGATACTCAGAGGTTTGGAAATTATTACCAGGTCTTTAAAGAGCATGTCTTTGGAAACTTCAACTTCTGAGTCTGCTACTTAGCTGTGTTTCCTTGGGAAAGTAGCTTAACCTTGGGAAATTGAGCTTCATTTGCTTCACCTGGAAAACGGGAAACCTGCATACCTCTTAGCGCTACCATTAGGAATACATGCAACAGTAACATTGAGCGCTAGGCTCCGGGCCTGGCACAGAGCATGTGCTCAGCATGTTAGCTGCTATGATTGTTATTCCAGCTGAGATCCTTTGGGATTCTGGGATGAACACAAGAAGCTGAGGGAGCTAAAGGTCAGGAGAGGATCTGCTCCTGTTCAGAGTTCCCGATGTTGGGAATGAGAGGCTCACTGAGAAGAGAGCAAAGCGTCCTACTCAGGGGAATTAGCAGAGGGGTGCCAAGGTCAAGCCCCAAGGCCAAGGCCGAGGCCGCTCATTTCTGGCCACAGGCCTGGCTACTAGGTCAGGGCCCTGGGCAGATACAACTTGTAAGAAGCACAGCAAAGATTTGTGGTTAAGATCTTGGGCTTAAGGACTCGATGTGTTCTGGGTTCAAGTTCTGACTCCTTTTAGTAGCGTATAACCTTGGGTATGAGACTCAAGAGAGGCTGAGCCTCTGCGGGGGAGGCAGGACAGCACGTGGTCAGCCAGGCTCTGGAGTTTGGACCTGTGACCTTGAGCAAGTCACTCCACCCAGCCACACTGACCCACAAGTCTTTTTGTAATGTGGGTTGTTACTACCATCAACCCCTTCTGTGGGGAAACCTTTGCTTGTGACTGGGTCCCTGGCCTGGCTTCCCTCCTCTCTTTCCCTCCCTGATGTGTCCCTTCTTCTGCGAAAAGCTAAAGTGGGGTGCTATTTGGTGACACTGCCTCCATGAGGTCAGGCTGCCCAGAAGTGACCCCTTTTGGTCGCCAGGAGTGAGAATGCAGGCTGTATGGCCTTAGTGATTTGAACGCCCATATGTGCCAGATGATATTTGTAAGTAACATCTACACTGGATGTGATCAAGCTATGTTCATGCACTCGCAGTGTCAGAGTTACCCTGGGCTGCTTGTTTTCCAGCACCACCTGGCAGGTCTGAGAAAAGGCACATGTCACTACCCACATCTCCCAACCAGTTGGCTCCTTACTGCCCTTGCGGAAGGGCAGGGGGAGAGGGGGTGTGGGGCGGTCACTTCAAATTCCTGGGAGGGGTGCTGCCACAGAGAACCCCCTCTCCTGTGTGGGTCGCTCCTAGGATCTATAATAGTTTTGTGGCTGGCCGGTGGCGTGGCAGGACAGACCTTCCCAGCACGGCCCTCACAGGGGTAGCTTCCTGGTGGTTGGGTGTATCTCTAAGCAGACACTGCCCCCTCGAGGCCACTTCCTGCCATGACACCTGGGAGAGGGGATCTCGCACAAGAAGCAAATGAACCCAGATGATGCTTTCCTTCCAAGTGTCTTCAATTATTGAGGGCCTTCAAATTGCCCCCAAATGCAAAAGTCTTTGGAGCACTGGCAGCGTATTCATTCTCAGCTTGAGAACCTGGACTCTACTCTAATGACATTTGTTGCGTCCAGAAGAAATGCAACTCAGGGTGACTGCCAGAAAGCAAGTAGAGTGGACTTCAGACTCTAGGTTATCTGTAATTTGTAAAAAGGCAAGGGGCTTAGGGAACAGGTGACAAGTGTCCTTGCTTTCAGGTAACATGTAAAATCAGGGTTGAGGATAAGGTTAGAATTAAGCAAAATAACTAGTATAGAGTTAAATAGAGTTAAGGGAAAGGGGGAAAGATACCTTGCCCTTTGATGTTAGATACCAAAAAGGGGGTGGGAGAAATAAAGAAATAAGAGAAAGCAAGCATTAGTTACAGGGAGGTCAGGATTAACTATCTGGGTTGAGAGGTTAAGCAAGTTAACAGGTGCTGTGGTGGGGGTGTGGAGACGGGGCTCGTACAACTGCTGGACAGTATAACACTGCGTGCTGTATAGAAATGTGGGGGGCAAAAAGAAAACAACGCCAGTAACCCTATCATCTTAAATAAACATTACTATTAGTTTGGTGCATTCCCTTTGTTATTTTTTCCTACGTGTCTGCCTTTATTGTGTGTGTGGTTTTTTTTTAAGATTTTATTGGGAAATTAGGGGAGGGGAACAGAGAAGTTGCTGTCGTTTTGTTCTTCAGTCTAGTTGTGGAGGACATCGCTTCACTGGCCCATGTTGGCATCATCATTGCGCTCTTCCCGGGTGAGGCAGATTGGTTGCCAGCCCCTGGACGGCCGCTCATGGCGGCTCTTGGCAGCTCACGCCGGCCACTGGCCACTCACGCCGGCTGCCAGCCACTCGGCTGGCCCTGGATTATGTTTATTGGATTTTTTTAACCCATAAGAGTTAAATCATAAAACATGTGAGTTGTAGAAAATAAAAACTGCACCCATCCCCCCACCCTCCAAAAAAAGATTGGTCCAAAATGCAGAGTTGGGTTATGATTGAGTTTGGGAAGGGTTCCATTCCTACTCATTCTCCAAGCAGACTGAGTCCTTTAGCATCCTGAGCCCATTAACTTCTCTGCCTCTAGGCCTTTGCAAATGCCATCCCCCTCCTGGAATTCTCTCCCACATCCTTGTCTGGCTGACTCCTTCTACTGCACAGGCATCTTCTCCCAAGAAGTTCCCCAATGTCTCAAGTTGGTTAGGTGACGCTCAGAGGTGCTTCTATAATCCTATGACAGCCTCTGATTGAACTGCATTGTCATCATTGCTTAGTTCCCTGACTTCCTGCTGACAGGTGAGCACTGTGTGGCGGAGACCCAGAGACCGTGATTCCCCAGTTTCTGGCATTGCCTCTGTGTGGCAAACCAACTGTCCATGTGGAGAAAATGGGGTGAGTGGGGGGAACCCATAGAAAGGGGTCACTGCTCCTGGGGTTCCCAATCTTCTGAACCTGGCCGCTTACTTCTCTTCTTCCTCCTCAACAGTAAAATGATGCGGCCCAGGAAGTCGAGAGGGGAGTGGCTCAGGTGAGGTGACAGCTGCACGGGGCCTGAGATGTTAAGAATCTCAGGAGCCCATTCCAGTCCCGGCTCCATCTCCAGCTAGATTGCCAGCCATCACCCAAGACCTAAGGGAACAGGATCAGAGCCACGTTCAATTAGGTAAGTAACGAGTATGTGTGCGGTGCAGGTGGGAAGGGCGTCATTCGGGATGAATCTGACAGTCTTGTCCTCAGAGGGCACTTGGTCTATTGAGTCCAGTGCAAGGCCTCACGGTATGGGGCCCAGGCTAAAAACCTGGGCTCAGGAGCCAGACAGGCCTAGGCTCTTGTCCCAGCTCTGCCACTGTGTGACTTTGACAAGTTGCTTCTACTCTCTGAGCCTCCGTTTTCTGATCTGCAAAATGGGGACAATAATAGAACCTATCTCATGAGGTGGTTGTGAAAACCTGGTGATATTAGGATGTGAAAGTTTAAGAAATGGCCAGAAAAGCCCCCAAATGAGAATGCACACAGATTTTCATGGTGAATCTAGAAAGGCATATAGGTGCAAACAGTGACTGCAGTCTGGAATAGGACTGAGGATAATGGGGTGCTCGCCAGCCCCAAAGGGAGCTCGACTCCAGTGTCCCCAGGCGCTGGGTCCTGTGAAGCTGCTCGCCAAATCCTTGAAGCGCCCTTTGGACTTAGGTACTCGTGGCTGAGACAGCAGCTAGTGCCCATCAAATATCCATGTGTTCACTCTCATTTCCCAGCCTCGCTTAGCCAACTTAGGCCACATGACTGGTTCTGGACAATGGTCTGTGAGCAAAAGTGATGTCTGCCGATTTGGGGGTCAGTTCAGAGTTGATGTGTCTTCTCCACATCTTTTCTCCTGCTGTGGGTCCCTGTGGTGAAGCTCTGACATTTGAGGGCTACCAGACCCTCATCAGACCTTGTGAGACAAAGACACCTTTATTGGGTTCAGCCGTGGAGATGTGGAGGTTGTTTGTTGAGGCAGCTAATGCTAATGGCCTCGATGCATAGACTACTATTATTTCCACTTATAGAGCTTATAGAGGCCAGGTCAGCTGCTCATGACCACACGATTTGTAAGTGGGCAGAGTTGGAACTCAAACCCAGGCTGGACTCGCCTGGCCGGTTTTTAGAAACTAGACTTACTTCACCTTATCATAGCCTGTCCCCAAGCGCTGCTGTCACATATGAAATCTTATGAGAATGTCCAGCAGGAGCGGGTCAGAGGGGGCAGCTGGAATAGTCAGGACACTTAGCAAGTCTGGTGTGAAATCCTGCCATTCGGGATTGCGCTGAGCAGTTGCAATGCTCTAGTTTCACTCCTGCCAATGATGGTTGGTCATGACAAGCAACACCCGAGGAGGAAACGGTAGCGCGCCCTTGCTCGGCAGAGGTTACAGCTGGAGACTGGAACCCTCATTCTGTATGTGGATTTACAAGGGATGAATCCCTCCCAATGTTGCTGTTTCATCCTCAGCTCTTACCTGCTTGTTCCCCAACTCAGAAAAGCGGTACTGAAAACCATCAGCTCCAGAGATAGACTTGGGCTCCAATCCCTGCTCTGCCACTTACGGGTTGTGTGACTTAGGCAAGTCACTTTGCCTCTCTGAGCCTCAATGTCCTCATCTGTCAAATGGGGATAGCAATACTAATTCCTCATAGGATGGCTGTAAGCATTAAAGATAACGCATGTAAAGCACTTAGCGCAAAGCCTGGAACATGTAAGGCTGCTATAGCAAAGGCAGGCTCTCTTTCTCCCAGGTAAGATAGGGAATTAACAGAGGAGAGGGAATCAGCGTACAAATTCACACCAAGATCTTTCATGTTTATTTACAAATAGGCTACATAGACAGGTATCACTGGGACATCTTAGGAACCTCAGGGAGGGGAACACACCTGCCTCCCTGTCCCCCTCTTCGTTGGGCTCCCTCCTGACTCAGCTTGGGATCCCTAGAAAGGGGTTTCTGACACTTTCTAGCTGGGAAGCCTGTAGGGGCACTGTGGGTTGGGCTCTCGCTGCTTCTCATGTCCACATCCGTCCGTCCCGGTGGGCCGTCGACAAGGGGCTGTAAGCCTCTGCTCAGTCATTCATGTCCAGGCCGAACTCTGGATATAACTCTTTGGTGGTGACACCTCGGATCACGGCTGAAAAGAAGGATGAATATCCAGCGGGAGAAGTGGGAGAATGGCCACCCAGGACTCATTCTTGCACCTCCTTCCTGCTCCCCTAGTTACCAAGATAACCCCGCTGCTACTCCTCCCAGGCCCCTCCACCATGGGTCCTGCCTGGCCACCCCAAACTAGACTCACAGAACCCTCACCCCAGAGGAGTCCATCAAAGCTCCCCTCGAATCCTTTCTCCACACAAAGCCACCACAGTCATCTGCTGAAGATGGAAATGTACATTTACATTGTATCCAGGGCCTGCTGAAAGCCCCGACTCCAGGCCCTGGCTGTTCGGTGACGCCGTTCCTCCTGCTCCTTCAAAGGCTCTTCCTGCCTCCCACGGGAAGGGCTCTCCTCGGAGGTGCCCCCTGACCACCTTATCTCACCCCCACCTGCCGCTCTATTCCTACCTCAATATTCTCAATCTCTGCCACTTGTTTCCTTCATAGCACTTAACACATTTAATAATTCATTTGTGTTCCTTTACTTAATGGCCATCCCCCTTCCCCACCCTAACACCGACACAGAAGTCACACGGGAACAGAGACCTTAAAGTGTCTGCTTCTCCAAAGTGTGCCCACTCCCTGGAGAGCAGCACAGGGTAGACAGGTCTCCAGCTGGGGTCCATCCAACAAGAGGTAATGCCCTAACCATTAGGCACTCTAGTCCCCTCACATACCTTTCTTCCTGGGCCCTGCCCACACTCTTCTCTTCACCCTCCTTGTTTTCTCCTTTCCCTCCTTTGGGACCCATTCCCCACTGGAACACAGAGAAGCCCTCCCCGCTGTGGAATCCTGGATGCTGACGGGCAGTTTGACAACAGGTGACCAAACTCCTGCAGCAGATGGACAGAGAGTCCCTGCTCTGAACACTATCTCAAATGGTCACTGGCCACAGTGCCCACCAGTCCAAGCCAGGCGATGCATCTGAGGCCACCTACACAGTTCCTTACCTCCCAGGTGGGCTGTCTGAGCCAGCCCACCACAGACACACAGGTGTCTGTGCCTTAGCTAAGCCCTCTGGATAGTGAGACTGTGTTCGAGAAGGAACAAAATGCTCCTTTAAGTCACACAGAGTCGCCCTTTCACTTTCTGCCTCTATAGCAAATCAGCCACTGGAGGCAAGGATGGGGTCTCAATCAGTCTAAGTAGGCCCCAGAAGACTGGGAACCTAGTCTTCAGTCCAGCAGGTGGGCGAGCCCATGCTCAAACCTGCCTGCAGCTCCAAAGCAGGTTCTACAGTGGGGGGAAAAAGCCCCAAGGACTCATGTAAGACCTGTACAGCTGCTTTGCTAGGTGGCCAGGGAGGGCAGGGGCACTCAAGAGAGTGGAGCAGCTGAGCAGGGTGGGAGGGTTGGCAAGTGAGAAGGCCCAGGAGCAGAATCCAACCACCCCTGGGGGATGGGGACTCCTTCCAGGACCTGCCTGCTCCCCTGGAGTCCTGCCTCTCACCGAGTTTGCCCAGCAGCATCTGGCCTACATCCTTGATGTCGTTGTACTCATGGAGCTGGGAGATGTGGTCCTCCAGTTCATCTACACTGTAGCCTCTGGGGCGAGGGGCGGAGAGAGAGAGAATCGTTAAGAAAGTCGATGAGGATCCAAGGTTCAGAGAGTAATGAGGCAATACTTGACAAATGTTCACTAAGGGCCTGTGCTAGGTGCACTGCACTGGGGATGGAGAGATGGCAACACAGACCCTGCCCACCGAAGATGACAGCAGGGCAGGGGTCAGCCCCTGGTACATGCTCCCTATACCCTTAGGGAGGAGTCCCAACCACAATGGGCCAGTGACCCTGGCCACAGCTGGGCACATCAGCGGCTAGTCAGGTCCCCTCAAGTGTGAAATGCACATTTAAAAGCTGCTCAGTCTGTGCCATGTGGCTGGAGCAAAGGGTGTGGGAAATCCCAGGAGATGTGTAAGAACCACCGCCCAGGCACTGAAAACCCACCTACAGAGACAGAATGGAGCCTGGGTGCAGAGGCAGAGAATGTGGGCCCCAGAGAGACTGGGAGAGCGATAATCTCCATTCCTGACAGCTTTCCAGTTCCTGGTTCTTGGTCCTCCCAAGCCTGACCACACCCGACCCCAGAGAGGTTGCTAAGACACCCTGAACCCAACGGTGCAGTTCTGTTTTTATGTTGACCTAGTATGACTGGATTGCAGTTACTGGGCACTAATTAAAAGTTATCTTAAGCATGCTGAGGAACCCAGAGAGACTTACTCAGATGTTAATTGGGAGAGCTCCTTGTCCAACACGTCCCTTTTCTCCTTTAGTTTCTGAACGTCAAGGTGCACAGAATCTTCGCTGGCCCCATCAGCCTGGCCAGACTTGGGAGACGGACGCTGAGTGGCACAAAAAGTCATTAGCCAGGTGTAGCAATTAACCACCATTCAGAACCTATAAGTTGTCCCCCAATAGCCACTCCCCATGTCTGCTTGGTAACAGACACCCCCCCGCAACCCATGGCTGAATAAGACTACATTTCCCAGCTTCCCTTGGAATTAGATGCGGCCCTATAATTAAGTTCTGGCAAATGGAACTTAATCAGAAATGGTGTATGTAGTGTAAGACTGGAACTGAGCAGTGTCTTGGATGATGAGGTAGCTGCCATGTTGAAGATGTGGTGGAACAAGATAGAGGCCTGGGTCCCCTGATGACTGTTTAAAGCCACCACTCTTTGGGGTTTTCATTCACTCCCAGCCAAACCCAATTCTAACTAAAGGGCCAAATCTAACTCCAGAGAATCCACATCAGGTCTACTTGGATTCTTCTCTCAAGTCTGTGATGTTGCTGGGTTTACAATTTCATTGGCTAATAAAATCTTTCTCTGCGACTACAATTCATCTTTGCCCTTTCTGCCTCCAGTGCCTGGTACACTGCTAATCTTCAGGAAACGTGTGTTGGATCAACTGTCTATGCATCTCCAAGAAGAGACGGAGGAAGATGTGGTTCCAACCCTCCAGTCAGTCAACATATGGTGAGTCAGCACTACCTACCAGGCACTGGCAAAGGCTCCAGGGCTTCAGCAGTGGAGAAGACAGCAAGCCCGCCCCCTGCCTTCACGGAACCGATAGCCTCGTCCCAAATACAAAACACTCAACAATGATGCTCTTCCTCCAGAGATCTCCATTTAAAGCTCTACTCACAGGTCACACTTCATCAGAAAGGCCCTACCTGACTACCCCATTTAAATGGTTACTCCTCAATTACCCGCTGTCCCTTTGTCCTGATGGCTTATGACATCTGTCACCACCGGCCATGTTATGCCTCTCACTGAAAATATTATTTTCATCGTCGGCCTTACACCACTGAAATGCAAACTCCACGAGGGCAGGGACTTTGTTAGACTCACTGCGGATTGCCCTGTGGCTACAATAGTACCCGGCATATAGCAGGCGTTCACTAAAATTTGTCAAACAAATGCGCGAATGACAAATAACTAATCAACTCACTGCATGTCTGAAAAGTGCTTTGAAGTTGAAGTACCGTGTGCTACAGGAGTGTCTAACAGGGTCGCTGGGCTGAGCCAGAAGTGGGGGTGAGGCTTCTCTGAGGAAGCTCAATTCTACAGGATGAGTAGGCATCAACCTGGCAAAAAAGCTGGAAAAGCATTCCAGACAGAGGCCAGTACAATATATTCAAATGCCCTAAGACAGGAGAGAGCACATATGTTGGAGGGAATGAGAGTGGTTTACGTGTGGGTGGGATGGGTGAGGGAGGGGATAGTGGTGTGGAAAAGAACCAGCCACTTGTGGTGCTGTCAGCGAGAGACAGGGCCCACTTGGGGAGTCTCGGGTGCCACTGACAAAGTCAGGGCACTGCTTCTTCTTTGAAGCTTGGTGGGCACAAGGAAAAGAAGGGGGAAGGCTGAGAAATAACCTGGAATTTCTCAGAAGGTTGGCTAGGGGAGGCCTGGATGTGGGCTGGGGGTGGGTCAGCTGCGGTGGGGATGGAGAGGACGGCTAGCAGCAGTGACTTCCACGGTGGAGGGCAGGGAGGGTAGGGGGCGTGCACAGGCATACTCACAGGGGATCGGAAGGCCCTGCCGCCACCTTTGGAAAGTCCTGGTTGAGTCCTGCAGAGGAATCCAAGGGGAAATGGCTGATTGGACCTAGAGTCTGCTCCGGGAAGAAGGGGTCCTGTGGGGGTGTTGGAGGAGTTGGGAAGTAGGAGCTACCGGGACTGGATTAAGTCGGGAAGGGGTCAGATATGCTCCCGGGATCAATCCTCGAGGAAGGAGAGATTCTGACAGGATGTAGTGTGTAGACTGGGGCGGGGTCTCTGGGGATGATCTTTGGAAGAGAGAAAGTCTGGGGCAGACCTACGGGAGTCAGGAAAGGGACTGTGAAGGGATGTGCTTCTCCCCCTGCTGTCCGCTCCTAGCCCACCTCCTGAGTCCTGGGGTCCGGGGGCCCCGATTCGGGGGGGTTTGCTGTGCAAAAGGGTCCAGGGCGAGAGCGGGAGCGCGCGACCTCTCAGGTCCGCCAGGTCATCAGA